TGTTTGTTTGTTTGGTTTTTCCCTTAAATGCCAGAGAATGCATGTGCAAGCATGAAAGACAAAATTCCCCACTGGGGTCTGGTCATACTGCAAATCTTTTTCCACTAATTCTCTATCCTGTCAGGATCTTGGCTCCCTCTGTGCAGTGCCACATCACGGTGCTACAGGGACGGCCCTCCATAGGTTTATGCAAAAGTAGGCTATAACTTACCAGTTGCGAAGTCTGGCTCAGAGTCATCAGGACTATCGGCATCACTGCCTTCCAAAAGAATCTTCCTCTGTTGGACCACAGCTTTGGATGCTGCTTTTCTTTTCCTGTGAACATCATGAATATCCTCCTCCTCAGTAATCTTATCCAGATCTTCAGGAGAAGCATAAAAATCAGTAGAAAATTTAGAAGCAGCTAATTTCAAGAATTGCAGAGCAGACCTATTACATCTGTGGCTTTTTTTTATTTTTTATTTTTTTTGGCCCAGGTTCACCCCTCCCTTGCTTCTACTTACAAACTACATAGCGTAGTCTGGGACAATCAGAGCACATCAGGTCTCCAGCACAGACACTGGCTTCGAGGAAAAGTCCAATACCCGAGAGAGTATTTCCCAAGAATTTTCAAACTGGGAAGATGTAGGCCCTCTTTTGAGTGGCCAGTTGGGGTAGACTTCATAGAAGCCATGGGTAGCCATGCCTCCACCAGGGACAAAGAGTCAGTACTAAGAAAGAAGACGAAACGCAAAGAAACGGAGGCCAGGAGACGAGGAGAGCTCTGATAAATTTAAAGACCTTGGTTCTAGCTACAGTTTCAGGAATGTACACAAAACTTAGAAAAATAATCTTGTTAACAGAAAAAACTTATTACTAATATCAACATAAAAGACATACCTAAGTGATCACTGGCCACACTGCAGTTAGAGATACGGACAGATTTACTCATCGTTTCTGTCTCGCCACTGCCATGTTTCTCAATGCCTAAGAGAAATAAGAAAGAAAATTTAGATGCGCCTTAATCAACCAACACAGAAATAGAAAGACTACTGCTAAGATATTGGGCTCTGTAACAGCACCTCACAGATACAAAATACAGGACATATATGAGGAAAATAACCTTCATCTCAAACGAGCACAGTGATTTTACTTGGAGAGGCTACCATGTGATTGGCGGTTTGTCATTAAGATCAAACAGATTTATGTCCAAATCTAGCCTCCAGCATGTCAACTGGCATATGGCCCCGGACAAGTTCCCTCACCTATAACACATGGGGATAAAACAGGGTCTCACAGGGTTACTGTACGTGATTCAATGTCAATCTCACATGGAAATGACCAACTACACTTTTATGTAGGTGAATTCATACTTTTACTAACATAAGGACTCTCCAATAAGAAACCTTAAAATGACATACAGCAGACCAGCATGGCAGTTAAGGTGCTGGGCTTCCTACATGGCTGACAGTGGTTCGAGTCCCAGACTTAGCAGCTTGAAAATCACGCCAGGCGCATGTACGTGCATGCCCATTATCTTGAGAGAAAGGAAAAGGGACTGCAGCATGCAGCATGGCCATGTCCCCTGGGGAGTGATTTCTCCCTTTCCCTCTCTCTGTCTCTCTCTTGCAAGTGCATGTACCTTATGGCAAAAAAACTTAAAAAAAAAAAAAATCCGCAGCACTTTAGGAGGGCTTTAAGTCATCATAGTTGGTACTACTAAATGCTACAAAGTACATTATTCAATGAGATGTGAGACTTTTTCTTAAGAATTATTTATTTTATTTAACTTTATTTATTTAATTAATTTATTTTTAATTTGACCAGAGAGGGACAGAATGAGAGAGAGAGAGAGAGAGAGAGAAAATGAGAAAGCAGGTCACCAGATCCAGGACTCGAACTGCGGTTGGCCATGTGGGAGCCCAGTGCCACCATGCTGGTCCTGAGATGTGAGACTTCTAAGGAATTCTTGCTACACAGACTATGTCTTATGAGACAAACTTCATTTTCTCAATTTTAGGTATAATACATGGCAATTTTCTTTTTGAAGTTTCTTTGATTCCTGATTACTAAAATTCTCCCTAATCAAAATTTTTACATATTTTTAAATAAAAAGCAATGCTGATTTAAACAATAAACAAAAATAAGGATAAACAAAATGCCCCCTAAAAGTATGGGCTAACGTAATATTAATGAATTCAGCCCAAACAATTTAATGCCAAAAGCTTTTCAGCAGTTCATCTTTTCCAGGAATACTAACTTCTGTGTCTCTAAAATGGCAATATCATGCTGCATGGCTGTCAGAAAAAACAAAGAAAATTCTGAGATCCAGAGTCATTCTCTTAGGTGCACTGAGCTTGTTAATGAAGATATACAACAAAGATTACCATCATTAGGCCATATCAATTTATGCAGATCTGAAGGAAAGGTGAACTGTTAGGGTCGTCAGATCAAGTTACTTGATCAAGACATCAAATTGAGGGCCAGCAGGCGATGCAGTGGTTACAGCAGGTCGCACTCCCACATGCCTGACTGTGATTCAAGTCCTGGATCCCACAGCTTGAAACTCACGCCAGGCGTGCCCCAAATCCTAGGAGGAGAATGCAGAAGAAGGGACTGCAGCATGGCCATCCCCACGGGGGCTGATTTCTCACTTTCTCTCCCTCTAAGTTTTTTTTTTTTGGAGAGATTTCTGCTATAGGGCGTGTGTGCTCGCCAGACAGACAGAGAGAGACAGAGAGACAGAAAGCGAGAAATCACCCCCCAGGGGGATGGTCACACCGCAATCCCTTCTCCTCCATTCTCCTCTCGGGATCTTGCGCACGCACACACACGCACCCGGCGTGAGTTTTAAGCCACCGGGTCCAGGACGCGAACCACGGTCGACTACGTGGGAATCCAGCGACATAGCCATTACACTAACTGCTGGTTCCCTCCCTCTAAGTCTTTTTATGTCTCTGGTGAGTGCATGTGTCCTATTGCAAAAATCTCTCTCTTAAAAAAAAAAAGATCAGGTTTTCACTGTATACCAAGATATGATTTGAACACCCTGGCACACAGTCATGTCCTCAAGCTTACCTCGGGCATTAGCAGAGATACATGCACGTTTGTATGAGATGTACGCAGCTGAGTAAAGAATTCAATCCAATTATATGCTCTATAAATTACACTATTTATAGTCCATGTATTCAAATTGTATTGTTTCCTCTGCGAAGGCCCACCCAAAGAAATGATCACAAACAGTAAGAAGGTTTTAAGGGTAAGTATCCAGAAAATAAAGTTACTTTCATCTTGAGACTTCTGCACATCCACAGTGGCTGTGGGGGGTTCCTTCACTGATAAAGCCAGTGCGACTTCTAAGTCTCTCTGGTAGAGCTTGTCGTCTAAAGCCAGCCTGAAACACACACACACATAATAATGAGTTTTTAAAATATCACTATCAACAGAGAGCAAAGCTTGAGATTTTCCTAAATTACTATTTAACATTTACTAAGCTCACGAAATTGTTTTTAAACCAACACTGTCATCATTTATTGGCCTTTGATGTTAAGACGCTTAAAATGTCATGTTATACTTGGGCTCTTCAAAAAGTTCATGTAAGGTGAGTAGGCAAAAACTATGCATAGATTTCAAAATGTTTTTGTGCCACAATAAACTCATACTTTGATTCCATTTTTCCTTCAGCCTTTTGAAGTCCCCGTGTTCAGTGTAATAGGTTTGGAACAGGAACAGCTATGTTTTTGCGCCACAAATGGAATCATACTTTGATTCCATTTTTCCTTCAGCCTTTTGAAGTCCCCGTGTTCAGTGTAACAGGTTTGGAACAGGAACAGCTGTGCCGTTGCTCTTTAGTTGTGCTGCCTCTCTTACTACCAGCTCTATCCAGGTGCAAAGTACCTGCTCAGCCTAAAAGAGAGTTGGTTCAAACATCATTTAAACTTAGAAATCTTCTTAAACCTCATCTACATTCCCTTAGCATAGATTATATTCTTATAGTGAATGAAAACAATTTTTTCATCTGTTTCTTCCAATCTAGACTTAATAATTATTTTGCCAGGCCAGCAGCTGGAGTAGTGGTTAAAGTGCTGGACTCCCACATGGCTGACCATGGATCGAGACCTAGACCGGGCAGCTTGAAACTCATGCCAGGTGTGTGTGGATGCATGCCCAAAATCCCAAGAGGAGAATAGAGGAGTGGGGACTATGGCATGGCCATCGCCCATGGTGAGGGTGATTTCTCACTTTCTCTGTGTCTCCAGCGAGTGTATGTACCCTTTAGCAAAAAGCTCTCGAAAAAACAAAAAACAACTGTTTTGCCAGGCTCCTACTATGTATGAGACACTGCATGAGCAGAAGCAGTGAAAGTATCCTCAAGGAACCTGCAGTTTAATGAGGGTAAGGAAGCAAGGCATAGTAGTAGTTATCCCAGGTAAGGCGGACTGTCCTAAGCCTCCTGTTCAAGCTGGTCAACAGCGCTAGAGTTCAGGAGGAGGGAAAATCAGAGACGAGGAAAGACCACATAAGGTGGAAGAATGGAGCTGCATCTTAAGAGATTTACCTTTTTTTTTTTTCCCCCAAATGTGGCTTAGTCAGCTAGATATCCTTCACTAATCTCCTGCCTACATTACCTTGGGTAGGAAACTTTCTGCCTTGACTGGCTTTCTGTTTTTCTTTTTAGAATTATTTTATTTCATTTTATCTATTTATTTACTTATTTTAAATTGACCAGTGAGGGACAGAAACAGAGAGAGAAAAAGTGAGAAAGCAAGCCACCAGGTCTGAGACTCAAATCGTGGTCGTCCAACGCCCTTAGCCACCACGCCACCTGCTGGCCCCAGGATTTATCTTTTTTTAAAAAGCAGTTTTACTGAAATATAACTCACATACTGTAAAAATCCGTCCTTTCAAAGTGTACAATTCAGTCATTTTTACTACTAAAAAAGAGCTATAAAACTATCACCACTATCTAGTATCAGAATATTTTCATTACCCCAAAAAGAAACCCAGGCATGCCCGGTTTACTGCCCCCCAGCTCCTGGTACCCACTGATCTACTTTGTTTCTACAGATCTTCCTCTGCCGCATATTTCATATAAATGGAGTCACACAACACGTGGCCTTTTGTATCTGGCTTCTTTCACTCAGCCATTCCCAAGGTCTGTCTGTGCTGCAGCATGTATCAGTTAATTTCCTTTTGTGGTTCAATTATGTCCCATTATATCAATGCTGCATTTTATTTAGCCATTTATCAGTTGACAAGCATGGGGACTGCTTCCATTTTTGACTGTTAGGAAGAATATTGCTAAGAATATTCATTTTCTGTGGGTTTATATTTTCATTTCCCTTGGTATATACCTAGGCTGGGTCATATAATAACTCTAACATTTTGTGGAGTTGCTAAGCTGCTTTCCAATTTGGCCATACCATTTTACATTCCCACCAGCAATGTACAAAGGTTCCAGTTTCTCCACATCCCTATCAACACTTGTTACTGTCTTTTATTATAGTCAAGAGTGTAGAGTACTAGCTCACTGTGGTTTTGATTTGTATCTCCCTAACAGCTAATAATGGTGTACCTTTTCATGTATCTTTTCATGTCTTTATAGGTTATTTGTGTATTTCTTTGGAGAAATGTGTATTAAAATCTTTTGCACATTTTAAATTGGGTTATTAAGTTACTGTGTTTTAAGAGTTCTTCATATACTCCAGATACAAGTCTCTCATCAGTTACATGATTTCCAAATGTTTTCTCCCATCTATGGTTTTTTTTCACCACATTTAAAATAACATACAACAAACTCGGAAACAACAACAAAAATAGAGGAAGAAGGTAAAGAGTATGACGTGGGTTAGTTTCCCTATGCTAATTAACTTTTCATAGAAGAACTTGTGGCAGTGAAACCTCACACATCCCATGTTCCATTTATCAGTAGTCCTTTTCTGCCCATCTCCTCTCCATACTACAAGTTTGGAGTATCAGGATTTTCATCCCTCACTCCTTCCTCCTTCTTGGCATTAACCACTGGAATTTCAAGGTTAGTCCAGAAACTATGGAACCTTGGCATTGCTGGAAAAATTAAAAAAAAAAAAAAAATCAGGCACTAGCAGATTGCATAATGCATAATGGTTACATTGCTGGACTCCCACGTAGTTGACTGCAGTTGGAGTACTGAACCTGGCGGCTTAAAACTCATGCTGGGTGTGTGCCCAAAATCCCAAGAAGATAATAGAGAAGAGACTGCAGTAGCCACCCTTCCTGGGGGGTGATTTCTCACTTTCTATCTTTCTGTCTCTCCGGCGAGCGCATGTGCTCTATAGCAAAAAAACAAAAACAAACAAAAAAAAAACTTAGAAAAATCAAATTAAAAAAAAATGACAAGGAAAAAATACCTTTTATAGAAAAATCAAATTAAAAAAAATGACAAGGAAAAAATACCTTTTATTTGTTAAAAAAAAGATTTTGAAATTATTTTTAAAATTTATTTCTTCTGAAAGAAAGACAGAAAGAGAGAGAGAGAGAAAAATAGATGAACAGAGAAACAGGTTCTTCCTGCTGTGATCTAAGCCCAGCCCCAGCCAGCCAGGATCGTGGTCACGCGTGCCTTGGCATATAGAGAGACTGCAGGAAGCAAATCCAGGACCTTCCATGTGGCTTTGGCACTGTGAAACACTGCGTTACCACTGCACCACCATGGCTGACCCTAAATATTTTTTAAAAAACTGCCCTTACAGGGACCAGCAGGTGGCGTGGTGGTAAAGGCGCTGGACACTCCCACATGGCCAACCACAGTTCGAGTCCCGGTCCTGGTGGCTTGCTTTCTCACTTTCCTCTCTCTCTCTCTCTTTCTGTGGCTCTCTCTGGTCAAATTAAAATGAAGGAATGAATGAATAAATAAATAGATAAATCTTAAAAAAAAGAAACTGCCCTTACAACTATAATTTTTATCAAAAAAATCTTGTAAGATTTGAAGAATTTAGAGAGAATGTTGGGTACTATAAAAGCCAGCCTTAACTTCTAAACTTTTAAACAATTATTGTCTTAATATTTACATGCATATCTCTTTATATGTTGTGCATTTCTTTTTTCAATCAGGAGAGAATTAATAGTGCATCCTTATTCTACATGTGCTAACTAAGATCTATAATTCTGATCAAGATCTAATTTAACCCAAGACTTTGCATCTCTGTCCATTTTAAATGAACACGTCTAGTATTATATTTATTGTGTCTTACCTCTCACCTTTTTTTAGGTGTTTTTTCTTGTGGTATGATGTTTTCTTTCAGGAGAGTCTTCACATTAGGTTTTGGTTTATTGTGTTTCAACTCCTTTGATATTGTTCTGGACTTCTTACTTAAAGGTACAGTTGCAGAAACAAAATCATCTATGTGTGAATTAAAAATAAAAGAAATAAAATTATTTTCTTAGGAGTTAAAATGTATTGCAGTGTGTGTTCAGGTTTTATAGGTTAAGTAAATTATTTGCTTCCTATGATTTAAAAATTGTCAGTATTTTGTTTGTCTTTAATCCATTTCAACTCCTCTGTTTTGGTGGTCTTTGTTTTTTAAAATACTAATTCATCAAAATCCCATTCACTAAAACACAGTAAAGGCAATTAAGGTAGTATACAAATATCACAGAAAAAAAGGGGCGATTAAAAACTTCTTAAAACCATTAGAAAGGTTTACCACTTTGAAAACTGGAAGAAAATGATTTTTATGGAGACTTCACAAGACAGCCAAATATCTTCTTTTAAAGGTCCATTGCCTATGCTTAGTATGCTAAGCAAGCTAAGGGAAATAAGCATCATGGGGGAGAGAAAGCACTATATGAGGATTCTGATAGTTACTAATATTTTCTCTTTCCCCTATCATAACAAATTTCCTATGAGCCTACTACAGTAACCTTTTTTATAAAGCAAAAAATATAGAATGTGTTTTTCCCCCTAGAGAGAAATTTACTTCCTTTGCCTGTTAAATGTTTCTTCCCTTTCCCCTCCAGCCCATCCTCTACCACCCACTTCCCTCCGCTACTATCCCTGGCGTCTACACCTATCCCCCCTACTATCCTAGCTTCAGATCTTACAATTCCTGCCATAGAGTATAGACATTTGGTACATATTAAGTGGTTCTCTTTCAAAGTCTGGCTCACTTCGCTAAACATTAAGTCCTTTATATTCATCCACTTTGAATAACTGATAGGATCTGTTTCTAATGGCCAATATCGTATACATGTGCCACAAGACACTGAGGCTGATCCCAAGTCTCAGCAATTGTGAATAGTGCTGCAATAAACATGGATGTGCAAGTGTCTTTCTGACTGAGCGTCTTCCTAGCCACTGGTAAACACTCAGGGGTGGGATTCCTGGACCACAGGGCAGTAGTATTTGTAGGTTTTTAAGGAATCTCCATATTGTTTTCCACAAAGATCCTACTAGTTTACATTCCCACCAACAGTGTAAAAGGCTTTCCTTTTCACTAGTCTAACCAGCACTTGTTGTTTTTCTGTTCGTTTGTTTTTTTAATCCAATTGTGGTGTGGTCATCCCCCCTGGGGAGTGATTTCTCCCTTTCTGTCTCTCTGTCCCTTTCTGTCTTTCTGGAGAGTGCATGTGCCTATAGCAAAAACCTCTCAAAAAAAAAAAGAAGAAAAAAAAAAAAAAGGTATTTCATTCTGGTTTTAATTTGCATTTCCCTTATACCAAGAGACTGAACGCTTTTTCATATGCCTTTTGGCCATACATAAGTCTTTGGAGAGTTGGTTATTCAGCTCATTTGCCCATTTTTTAACTGGATTATTCATTTAAAAAAATTCTTTTCTTTTAACTTTATTTACTTATTTTAACCAGAGAGGGATAGAGTAGGAGGGAGGGGAAGTAAGAAAGTAAGCCACCAGTTCCAGACTTGAACCACGATCAGCCACATGGGAGTCCAGCACCCTTAACCACCACACCATCTGCCAGCCCGGATTATTCATTTTTTTACGGATGAGCTGCTTGAGTTCACTATATATTCTGGTTTTCAATCTCTTGACTGAGGAATAATGTGTAAATATTTTCTCCCATCCTGAGGGCTCTCTTTTCAACTCTAATTGTTGTTTCCTTTGGTGTAAAGAAGTGTTTTTTTTTGTTTGTTTTGTTTTTAAGGTTTCTGCCATAGGGTGTATGTATTATTCATTTTTTTACGGGTGAGCTGCTTGAGTTCACTATATATTCTGGTTTTCAATCTCTTGACTGAGGAATAATGTGTAAATATTTTCTCCCATCCTGAGGGCTCTCTTTTCAACTCTAATTGTTGTTTCCTTTGGTGTAAAGAAGTGTTTTTTTTTGTTTGTTTTGTTTTTAAGGTTTCTGCCATAGGGTGTATGTGCTTACCAGAGACAGACAGAGACAATAAAAGGAAAAGTGAGCAATAACCGTCCCCCCAAGGGTGGGGGAAGGCGATGGCCAAGCCACAATCCCGTCTCCATTCTCCTCTCGGGACTCTGGGCACCCACTAAAGAAGCTGTTTAGCTTGATGACATCTTAATCTCTAACTAAAGAATGTTCTTTTCTATCCATTACTGTTTCTCAAGAGTTTCCTGCTCTAACATTCTTCAGAACTCTTATAGTTGTTGAGAATCAACATAAAATTGCTGCTATGGCTTTTAAACATTATGGTAAATGTATGTCTACCTTCAGTGTCCATGTGGACTTAATCATATACGATGGCATTTATTTATACATGTAGGGATATGTATAAATAAATTTATAAATGTATAAACTTCATTCCATGTAGGAATATGACAACTTAATATTTTCTGCACCACCTACTTCATCCAGTATCCAGTACACAATTAGCAATTTATAAATATCTGGTAACAGACTGATGGTAGTAATAAAAGCTAATAGTTCTATTCTATACCACTGACATTTTATCCCAGTTTGTAGACACTCTAAAGGCTATGCCTAAGGCAAAAACAAATTCTTTAAACCTAGAAATGACTGAATATTTGACTTACAGAGACTCTGGTGGTCTGAGAAAGAAATATAAAACCTACATCAAAGTATGGACTCTAATGCAATGTTTCTCAGCTTCTGATCAAAGTTATCTTAATAGCAGAGACAAGTAAACATATAACCAATATAGCACAGCATAAATCTAACCTCTCTCAAAGTCTTCTTTCATGTTACAATTATTGAGGGTTATATATAGTATTCTATTACACATTTGTATTTCAAAAAGACAGTGTGTTCCTTCTTCAGAGAACAAATAGGAGACAAAGCCCAACTTGAGAAACACAGACCCAGAGTAGTTTTCACCCAAAGAATCATTTTCACCTGGATTTGCTCATTTCTCACTTTATTATAACAGTAATTATCAGTGTGGCCATCAGAATAATTATCTTGAATACTTCCCAGATCTACGTAATATGTTATTGAGGCATATATATATTCAATATCTGAGCAACATATGTCATCTATCTCCCAAGGAAATAAATTTCAAAATTTTTACAGCAAAAATAAGAGGTTCTACTTACCATCACTGTCGGAGTTTTCAAACTGTGAGTAATTGATTGATTTCTTATGTCTATGACCAAGAGAGAGATTTTTCATTATCACGAATGTCAATTTCTCACTTCTGTTCTATTCCTTAAGGCTATTAATAGCCTTATAAACAAAAATGTGCTTGGCTTCTTTTTGAAATACTAAAAATCTAAAGCAGACTTGCAGGGGTCCAGCCAGTGGCGTGGTGATTGAGGCGGCTGGATCCCACTGAGACATCTGAGTGGTTTGAGTGCTGGACCTAGTGGCCTGAAAAACGCACTGGGCACATGTGTACAAATGACCAGAACCCTGAAAGAGAAGGGAGGAGAAAGGATTGTGGCATAGCCATCCCCTCATGGGTGCTTTCTCACTTTCCCTCTCCATCTGTTTCTCTCTGCCAAGCACTCATACCTTATAATAAAAACTAAAAAACTATTTTAAAACCACATGATTTGCATTTATAACAGGGATTTAGCATTAGCTGAAATAGATTTAACTGTACCTGACACGGAAAAAATGTGTACCTGTACCTGACAGGGAAAAAAAACAACTTAGATAACTCCCAAAGAATAATCCATATAATTACTACTTCCTAACTATATACTCTTTAATTGCTGCTGAACACATAATTTCCTGTTGCAAATGTCCTTTTGTCTTATATATGCACTCCATATTCCTTGTTAGATTACAAATTTCCTGACACTGAAAGTCATTTTCTTTTTCGATCTCTGTACACCATCAAATGTATTTATATTGTGGACACTTAAAAAATGGTAACTTTGTTTCTGCTACTTACCCTATATCTTTATAGTACCTTATGGGGTATCAAAAGAAAATGAGGGCCAGTCCTGCAGAGTAGTGATTAAACGCTGTGCATCGGGAATCAGACCCCATATGGCTGACCAGCGGCTTGAAAACATGCTGGGCACATGTGTGTATGTGCCCAAAATCTTAATGGGAAGCCAAAAAAAGGAGGAAAAGGATTTTGACATGACCAGGCCCCACTGGGGGTGGGAGTGCTTTCTCTTTGGCTCTCTCTGGTGAGTGCATTTCCCACTGGCGATAAGAAGGAAAGAAAGGAGGGAGAGAAAAGAAGAAAATGATAATCAAAGTGGGAAAAAAAAGTTATTTTCTTCTTCCCTCCTCTATGTATTAAATGAAACAGTATTCAAGGTTGTGTTTCCACCTTTGACCAAATGCTCAAGTATAAATAACCTAGTTTGTCAGTTGGCTGTTCTTTCAACTAAAAATGGGGTTTTATGAAAAAAAGAGGCCAGTTTAGCTTGCAACTCAAAAAAAAAATTTTTTTAAATAATTATTTTCGTTCACTTTATTTATTTATTTATTTAATTTATTTTGACCAGAGGGACAGAGTGAGAGAGGGAGGGAGAGAGAGAGAGGGAAAGGAAAAAAGCAAGCTGCCAGGCCCAGGACTCAAAACATGATGGGCTATATGGGAGTCCAGCACCCTTAACCATCATGCCACCTGCCAGTCCCTCAAAAAAACCTTACAAGTGCCTTTCTTTAAGATAACCATCATATTTTGTTATGTACAATAGAAGTACTTAATGAGTACTTCCCATTTCCAGCAGTTGCTGTAACGGCTATGTCACTGGACTCACATGTAGTTGACTGCAGTTTGAGTCCTGGAACCAGTGGTTTAAACTCACGCTGGGTACGTGTGCAAACGTGCCCAAGATCCCAAGAGGAGAATGGAGGGGATGGGATTGTGGCATAGCCATCCCTTCTGGGAGATGATTTCTTGCTTTCTGTCTCTGTTTCTCTCTGTCTTTCTGGTGAGTGCACACACTCTATAGCAAAAACCTCTCCCCCCCAAAAAAAATTGAGACTGAGTAAGAGTAAAACAAAATTTTAAAATCTATTTTTTAAAAAAATATACTTGGGACCAGTAGTTAGCATAATGGCTATGTCACTGAACTCCCATGTAGTCGACCGTGGTTTGAGTCCCGGACCCGGTGGCTTAAACTCATGCCGGCATGTGTGCGTGTGTGCCCAAGATCCCGAGAGGAGAATGGAGGAGAAGGGATTGCAGCGTGGCCATTCCCCCTGGGAAGTGATTTCTCGCTTTCAGTCTCTCTGTCTCTCTCTTTCTGGCGAGTGCACGCACCCTATAGCAAAAACCTCTCCCAAAAAAGAAAAAGAAAAAAAAAAAAGAAAGAAAGACTTGCTCACACAGATCTACACACACACACACTTAAGGGTTGAGCTGTAATAAATATAATAGTCTTACTGTTTCATTAAGCATATTCTTTTTTTTTTATTTTTTAAAGATTTTTTTTTACAGGGTGCACATGCTTACCAGAGGGACAAGAGACAGAAAGCGAGAAATCGCCCTCCACCCACAACCCCGGACAATGGCCTCACCGTAATCCCTTCTCCTCCATTCTCCTCTCAGGATTTTGGGTACACATACATGTGTCCAGCATGAGTATTAAGCAGCTGGGACTAGGACTTGAACCACGGTCAACTACGTGGGAGTCTAGTGATGTAACCATTACACCATCTGCTGGTTCCTCATTAAGCATATTTCACTCTTTTAGCCTAAGTGTGTAGTAGTAAAATGTGAAATGACTACTAGTATAGTTTGGTGCCACTGTCTTGATTTGTGCTAGGGTTCTAGCAGGTTTATCACTGTAGCACAAAACTAGAACGGTGAGAAAAAAAAATAACATCTTAATATTACTGTGAAAATAATTATTTTTTTCCTTTTTTGGGGGAGAGGTTTTTGCTATAGGGTGTGTGCGCTCGCCAGACAGACAGACAGAGAGATAGAAAGAGAGAAATCACCACCGGGAGGATGGCCACACTGCAATCCTCCATTCTCCTCTCGGGATCCTGGGCACACACACACACACACACACACACGCGCCCGGCGTGAGTTTAAGCCACCAGGTCCAGGACTCAAACCGCGGTCAACTACATGGGAGTCCACAGGCATAGCCATTACGCTAACTGCTGGTCCCACTATGAAAGTAATGCTGAGCTCATGAACTTCCTGAGAAGCCTTCAGGAACCCCCAGAGATCTTCAGACCATACTTTGACTACTGCTGATCCAAACAAAAGGATTACATCTTCAATACTTACATATTTAAAAACCTAGTTCGAATTCGACATGTTTGAAACAGAAATCTTCATCCCTGGCACCTCCTGAACTTACTTCTTTTTTTAGTCATTTCCATCTCAGTTAATACAGAAATCATTCGGTACCTCAGAACAAAAACTTCGTAGTCATCCTTGATTCCTTTTTTCCTTTACCTCCACTTCCACTTCATCAGCAACTGCTGTTAGCACTATCTCCAAAATATATTTCAGATTTGTCTGTTGCTTTCTGTTTTCCCTGGTAACACACTACCCCAAACCACTACCCAACGATATAACAGCCTCCTACCTGATTCTCCTACTCTCTACTAGTCATCTCATCCCCCTGTTCATGCTCTACCAGCAGCCAATAACCTTTATAAAAGCAAAGATTTCTTTCTTACTTAAAAACCCTCCATGGACTTCCCACTGGACTTAGAATAAAATACAAACACCTTTCGAAGGCCTACAAAGCTCTACCTGTTCCAGCACCTGCCTGTTTCTGTGGCCTAATTCCCTACAATTCTTCCAACTGCTTGCTACTATCTCAGCCTGTCTCTCAACCATGGCCTTGGCTCTCCTTC